ATTTAAGAGTATAAGCTATGTATGTTTCTAAATATAAATGTAATCCAAACAAACTTTGATATTAAAATAAATATATAATAACAAATTCATTACAGGATGGAATAGCCAAAATGGACCAATAAGTCCCATGTTGTCCCAAAATATTATGTTATGTTGGTTTAATTTCATATGATTGTGACCTTTATCAGATAATACCTGTTATTTTGGTTTTAACTGGCTTTATTTTATCATAAGTAAAAAAAACATTTGCCAATAAAACAAATTGTTGTTCTTAGACAAGGTCCACCTTCAGCAGTCCATGATTTTGATCAAAGCTCTAACTGATGCAGGTGTACTATTTCAAACACAGGTAAGTTGATTCGTATTCAGACTTGTCTTATATTTCATATCATGTTAATATGATTCTTCAGTAGTTGTATTTGGTAGCATCTTCAAACCGGGATGTTTATATTGTTACGTCTCTGTATGTTTGTTTGTTAATTCTTCTAAGATACAAGTCCTTTCTTTGTAAAACTTGTTTATTTTTCCTCAATACAACTTTGTAATCCACTTAATTTTCACAGTTACACACACTATAGTTCACAACAATTCACTCACTTTCTATCGCGCTTAGACTTAATTGTCCGTCCCCGCAAACTATAGTTCCGATCTCTGTGTCTGCTATCCTCAGTTCCCACCGACCGTAATCGCTGTCTTTCTTTCTCTCTGCCTGCTTCGTCTCCGCTACGTCTCTGCCTCTATCTCCGTCTCCACTACTGCTTCGACTCCCTCTCTGTCTCTCTCACTGTCTAGCGCACTTATATACGATAATACTGCCTGTTCTAGAAACTTCTGAGACTCTCAACACGTGCTACCAGCGTCACTTGACTTCCGCTGTCGTCACTTGACCCCCGCTGTCGTAACAATATATATATATATATATTAGGAAGAAAATTTATCGCTAAATAAAAAAAGCTATGTGGCTGGCTACTGAACTTGGAAAAGGGAACCAAACAAGATAAGTATGAAAGTGGACATATCATTCGATCTTACCGCTGAACACACAGCAGACTAAGCTGCCTCGACTTTACATGGAGAATAAAATCTCCACATTACTGGCTTTCTCACTGGCGAAACAAATAGAACCAGAATTTCCAATCGTAAAATGTTACTCTACTGTAAAATAGTCATAAGGTAGTATTCTAAAGTTAACTAAAGGAAAGGTATAATGATGAAAGCTGAGATTCTATTCAAACACCAAGCTTTTGATAGAGAAAGTGGGGAAGTCAGTAATGTAGTCTGCTATGTGATCATTAGCCGATCAAGTGATTTGTCCACGTCTATCCCTAATTTGTTTGGCTCCTTTTTTCCAGTTCAGTAGACACCCCTACACAGCTTTTTTATTTAGCGATAAATGTTTTCTTGATACTTGTTTGTTTACTTGTTTTATAAGATAGCATACGTTGGTTACTACTTTATAGAGTGTGTTCTACAGCTTTATAAATTTTGCATAGAATAATAATAAAATAGGTAGTCAAAGATCGTGAAGACTTTTGCTCAATCAAATGATGATACAATTATAGTTACTGCTAGAACTAGGTAGGCGCTAAGCCTGTTGAAGAATGATGATGATGATGAACGAAAATAAGTAATTTCGGTTTTGGCTGTTGGCCATTTTCCCATTTGGGACGCTCTGCATGGCAGAAAAGCGGCATTTACACTAGACTTAGAGCGACTATGCCAGGTAGCTCTTCACATCTATCTTCTAATGACTTGTATGTCTACTGATTTTTTTTTACTCCTTCACTTCATACAAAATATATAGTTGGCTCCCTAAAGACACCAATTGTATAGTGTACAAAGCGTTGAGTATTCTACATGTTAAAGTCATCTAATGTTCATCTATTATTGGCTGGTAATTCCTGTTTCGCCCTGTACTTAAGATTTTTAAGGAACAACACCATGGTTCTATAAGAAAGCTAACTTCAAGGGGTAATAACATTGTTTACATTAGAATTATGATGTTTTTTAAATTTTGCATAGAACAGTAATGAAATAGATAGTCAAAGATTGTGAATGCTATTTTGTTCTATCAAAATTATGGTTACTGCTAAAACTAGGTAAAACTATTTACAAAAGATGATGATGAACAAAAATAAATCACGGTTTCGGCTATTCGCCGGTTTTCGACTTTAGGACGCTCTGAATAGCAGAAAAGCGGCAATTACACTGGAGAGAGAGCGATTATGCCAGTTAGCTCTTCAAATCTAGCTTCTGATGACCTGTAGATAAGAAAATCCAGAATACTTTCGTGTTGCTTTAATACGGGCGTCCGTGCCATCCCTACCTAGAGAGTGTTAGCGCACTCTCCGATAGAACAGACGATCATTTAAAACTAAATTTTGTTGTCCATGTGTTACCTGGATAAGTCTAGCGTGTCTATTACTACAAAATGTAACTTTAATTACATAATTACTTGGTATTAATAGTACCTTACTGTTGTATATAATTATTTCTATTAATTAATTTTACTTGGCCTCCATTGGCTCAGCGATAAGTATGAGCTTATACCTTTAAAAATCGGGTTTAGAAACTCGGTGGGCACATAACAGACAGCTCGTTGTATAGCTTTGTGCTAAAATAAACAAATAATAACTTTACTTGTTTCTTCAACTCAACATTTACAGAAATAACATGATCTAATGATTACTATCAACTTAACATTCACAGAAATAACATGACCTAATGATTGCTATCAATTCAACATTCACAGAAATAACATGACCTAATGATTGCTATCAACTCAACATTCACAGAAAGAACATAACCTATTGATTGCTATCAACTCAACATTCACAGAAATAACATAACCTAATGATTGCTATCAACTCAACATTCACAGAAATAACATAACCTAATGATTGCTATCAACTCAACATTCACAGAAATAACATAACCTAATGATTGCTATCAATCCAACATTCACAGAAATAACATAACCTAATGATTGCTATCAATTCAACATTCACAGAAATAACATGACCTATGATTGCTATCAACTCAACATTCACAGAAAGAACATAACCTATTGATTGCTATCAACTCAACATTCACAGAAATAACATAACCTAATGATTGCTATCAACTCAACATTCACAGAAATAACATAACCTAATTATTGCTATCAATTCAACATTCACAGAAATAACATAACCTAATGATTGCTATCAATTCAACATTCACAGAAATAACATAACCTAATGATTGCTATCAATTCAACATTCACAGAAATAACATGACCTATGATTGCTATCAACTCAACATTCACAGAAAGAACATGACCTAATGATTGCTATCAACTCAACATTCACAGAAACAACATAACCCAATGATTGCTATCAACTCAACATTCACAGAAAGAACATAACCTAATGATTGCTATCAACTCAACATTCACAGAAAGAACATAACCTAATGATTGCTATCAACTCAACATTCACAGAAAGAACATAACCTAATGACTGCTATCAACTCAACATTCACAGAAAGAACATAACCTAATGATTGCTATCAACTCAACATTTACAGAAAGAACATAACCTAATGATTGCTATCAACTCAACATTCACAGAAAGAACATAACCTAATGATTGCTATCAACTCAACATTCACAGAAAGAACATAACCTAATGATTTCTATCAACTCAACATTCACAGAAGGAACATAACCTAATGATTGCTACTATTTCAATTTCAAATCACATTTCAACTTCATTGTACAGCAAAAGATATTAAACATATGTCATAACTAATTTAATGATAGACATATCAATAGCTAAGTTCCATGATTTCAACAAAATATGATATTGTCAAATATTTAAACATTTAGTAGAGTTGACACTAAACCACGTCGTTATCCAACTTACAAGTTCTTTCTAGCCATCTTGCCATAGTTATTGACTGTCAACAAAGCTCATTATTTAAAGCTACGTTACTCGCTAGTTTTGATGCTGTTAACCACCATACTTCTTTTTAATATCGAACATAGCATGCAGTGAGTTGTTTTGAGAACGTCTCTATCATTGTTCTTTAATAACGACATCTGTACTATATCTCTAGAATATATTCTGAGAAAGAGTTCAAACTGTACCCCTGATAAATACCTTGACAGACAGATCGCACAACATCGCTAATAAATACGTTGACAGACACTTTGAGGTACATCTCTAAGAAATACTTTCGTGGACAATCCTTACATCCAAAACATGTTTGATTTGACCCGAAGAACTGTATCTTATACACATTTTTAGTTAGTTACGATTTATTTTATTTCAAGGTTTTTAGCTATGTCACACCTACTGTGTGATGATCAAGTTATTTATATTATTTAAAAAATGATATAAACTTATTTAACTCGTGGAGTCTCTAAGACAAAATTACGAACTGCTAACTCAGATCGTTATCAAGTCCTGATAGCTTCTCCAACTGTAGGAGTCTGAAGACAAAATAACGAACTGCTAACTCAGGTCGTAATCAAATCCTGATAGCTTCTCCAACTGTAGGAGTCTGAAGACAAAATTACGAACTGCTAACTCAGATCGTTATCAAGTCTTGAAAGCTTCTCCAACTGTAGGAGTCTGAAGACAAAATTACGAACTGCTAACTCAGATCGTTATCAAGTCTTGAAAGCTTCTCCAACTGTAGGAGTCTGAAGACAAAATAACGAACTACTAACTCAGGTCGTAATCAAATCCTGATAGCTTCTCCAACTGTAGGAGTCTGAAGACAAAATAACGAACTGGTAACTCAGATCGTAATCAAGTCCTGATAAAGATTTGTTTGAACAACTCTGAATCACCACAAATAAGTTGACAAAGCTCTCTAACTGATGGACAATTACTCGTTATTACCCGCCTGATAACTTATTTTAAACGAACTGTAATTCACATATATCTTTGATCTTTATTTTCAGATTTATCCAGACGAAGATCACAGCCTTACCCGTTTCACTTTGCACTTATACCAGACAATGGAATCTTTCCTGGATCAGTGCTTTGATATTCCTCGCAAAGAGGAGGCAGGACTTCAAAAGACAACCAAAAAAGTATTTATAGGAGGAAGATAGTGACAGTTGAATGTACATTTCTTCGGTTCTTCAATGTTTTTATGTCTTTACTCCACATACTTACCGATAGAGAGCGCCAGGCTACTTTTGTGCCAAACAATGTATCGTTAAGGATTTCTCTTACATTATTATTATTACTATGTATACATAAGTTTCCTATTAAGATACTATGAGTTGAACTTTCACTGTTGCTACATGTTCAAGAAAGAATATAAACTTTGCTCGTTTTGTAGACTAAGAGATATTGATATGTATGTTGGTAAATACAGCAGAGAACCTAAAATGGGGGAAAAGTTACGTCTGTGTCTGGCTCTGGATGAGGGGAATAAACGTTAAGTTCCGATAATTTATCAATTTTATCCGAATGAAAAGAAGAAGAGAGCTCACTAACTTTCAGCTCCAATAATTTATCAATTTGACCCGAATCAAAAGAAGAAGAGAGCTCACTAACTTTCAGCTCCAACAATTTATCAATTTGATCCGAATGAAAAGAAGAGAGCTCACTAACGTTCAGCTCCAACAATTTATCAAGTTGACCCGAATCAAAAAAAGAAGAGAGCTCACTAATTTTCAGCTCCAACAATTTATCAATTTGATCCGAATGAAAAGAAGAGAGCTCACTAACTATCAGCTCCAACAATTTATCAATTTGATCCGAATGAAAAGAAAAAGAAAGCTCACTAACTATCAGC